TGTATCACTATTCCTCCTGCTAGCTGGGGAATGCTGGGAGATAAAGTCTGGAGATCGTCAAGGTTGAAAAACATGCCCATTCAGAAGTACTGCAATTACTGTACTCTTATTATAAAGGTAGTATTAGTATTCATGACTACCTGTCTGAACTGTCTTGAAGGGCTGACATTTGCTGCATATTACCATAGTCCACAAGGACAAGATTTTTAACAAATAACTGTAACAAATAACAGTTCTGCTGCAATCTCATAGAAAGATCCCATTGAATTCAGAGTTCTTAGTTCTGAAAGCTCTTACCCTCTCCTCTGTCTTTATTTTTCAGAGAACTAGGGAGGGTTGCTTCTGACATGCTTTGGCACCTTCGCCCTTGCTTTGGACTCAGAATTTGTTTACCAAACTGTTGTCTAGATTGTGGACTTCCTCCTGTCTCCCAAGGTTATTCTCATATCCCATTACAATATAGAATATATTTTTAATGTATTGTAAAGAATAAAGTACTGACACTCCAGTATCTAGTACAAATAAATACTGTATATTGGGCTACTGCGATACATTGAACTGTGAGGGATTCTCCTTGAAAGCTACTTGGTCACATTTCTGCACTTATTATGGAATGTATAATATATCAGGCCTGAGTAAAAGCAATGCTATCTTGTAAACTGTTGTCTATGAAGTGTAAATATGGATCTACCTAGCAACAGCTCCTTGTATAAAACCAAGCAGAAGAAAAGGCATAATTGCATTTGGCTGGACCAGATTTCTCCCATCACCTCCAGACAGTACTGGTCAACTTGGTTGAATGGGATTGTATGCGTATAGCTTGCTTAATGCAAGAAAAAGAAAGCTTTACTGTAGTTTTGATTCTGCTTAAGCACTGTGTAATCTTTGAAGAGTCATTTGTACATTCTACTCCAATGTCACAAGTGCTGGTGCTTAAATTTTGGATGGGAAAAGTGTAGAGATCGTGCAATCACTTTACTGTATCAGTTGTATTTGAGTAGTTTATAAACCATTTTGTATGACATCCTTTTGCAGATGAAAGAAGGGTATTTTCTTTTTAAAAAGATGAATAAAGCTATTAAATTTCCTGAAAAATTGTACATGGTCCCAATATAGTCTATTGGTTGAGAGCATTTTTCAGTTTGTCTGGAGTAGCTAATTGTCAATTTTGAAGTCTGTCAGAAGCACTAGATTGGTTTGCTTTTAGTTCAGCACATACTGATACTTTTGCTGGGCACAAAGCAGCAAATCATAGAAACATTGTGGTTCTCCTTACACTAACCTAACCTTTTAAAGGATATTTGCAGCTTACAATTTATGTTGAAACCTATCTAGCTTGTAGTAAATCCTATTAAGGCAATACCTTTACTTGGCTACCTGAAAATAGTCTAGAACAGTTGTTCTCTTCTTTATCCCGTATCCCCTTTAAATATCTTTGGTGACCACGAACTACAACAACTCGATTTAAATCATAACATTTCTTCAACCTTTGTGAACCTTTGTTCCCCCAGGGGTTTGTGGATCACAGATTAAGAACCACTGGTCTAGAAAATAGTTTAGAACATAATCTCCAAGTGTTCCTTATCAAGCAAGATAGCTAACCAAAAAGGTTAAGTAGGTAAAGATAAGGAGATAAAAAGTGGCTGATGCTTAATCACTCTTGGATGGATCGTGGATGTGCTTATTGGATTGCATTTGGTTCAAAACCGGCTCTAGATGTTCCCAAAAATTGTGTTTAAGTAGTTGAAATGTAAATCTTTGAAAACTACTTCATTAATTTAGGATAACATATAATCAAGTGCAAAATTTTCAGTTAATTTTTAAACATTTAAAACTATTAAACTATTATTTTAACAGGTTATAAAATATTAGTTTAAGGGACACAGGAAAGAAGAGCTCAAGAAAAAAAAAGAGATAGAAATTGTTAGCATGGGAACATATGAAAGTGGTAGAAATATTTAGTACAGTTGTTTGCATGCCTATAAAAGTGCATCTCATGGTGTAACAACCTTATCTTATTACATATTATATGTTAAAGTTGCTCCCTGGGGTTTTGCATTTATTTTACGTTTATTTACCTCTAATTGTAATAGCTGTGTCTGAAATAAAATTATATTATATGGTAATTATATTATTTGCTTCCTAATTCATTATCCTCCATGGTTGTATATCTGTAAAATTTAATAGCTACATGTAGTTCAGAGCATTCTTTTGAGATTATTAGAGCTGGATTGATCAGAAAGTACTGGAATATCTTAAGAGAAAATATTTAAAGTTAACACTCTGAAGGACCTGCTTCATTCATATATTCAACTATACACTTAAGCTTCAGTTTATGTTGATTTACTTGAGCATAGCAAAAAGTGAATACAATTCAAGGTTCAGATGTAACACTAAATTAATTTAAGATTCAAGTTGTGAGAGTTTCTGAGCTGCTGTTTATGGCTCTACGAGATGAGAAAAGGGAAGTAAATAAAATTGGAAACAGGGCTAGTTAGATGTTACTGTCGTAACAAACATTAAGTTTAGGGAATGTTTTTAAACAAAAGGTAAAGATACTCATCTCTGTTTCCTAATCAAAGGAGCCAGCATTGTCTGAAGATGCTTTGGTGGTCATGTGGCTGGCATATCCATGACTATACACAGAATGCTGTTATCTTCCTGCTGAAGTGGTATCTATTTATTTACTTGCAGTTGTATGCTTTTGAAGTGCTAAGTTGGCAGGAGCTGGGGCAAGAATGGGCGCTCACCCTGTCACGCGGTGTTTGGGTCTCGAACAGTCAACCTTCTGATTGACAAACCCATTGTCAACTGCTAGGCCACTGCGTCCTCTTACGGAATATTGAGGCCCGCCAAACCATCAAATCTGCCTTTTGGTGTCTTAGAAAAATCTCCTCTTCCTTCCCACTGTATATCTGTTTCCTCACTGGTAATGCTTGCAAACCCTTTTCTATGCTTTGCCTGCCCAATTTCTTTCACAAAAGAGAAAAAAAAGTAGAGCTTTCAGGGAGCCCCTTGAGAAGTTCTTCAAGAGTTTATTTATTTAATAAATTTTTCTTTCCTGCACTTTCTCCTTGGAAGATTTGCAAAGTGAGAAAGCTATTCCGAAGGGACAGCATTTGAAGGTGGTTCCAGAGAGATGTGCCACCAATATCCAATTTTATTATCTGCTTTTGTTTTTGTTTTCAAAACCTCTGATATGAACAACGTGGCCAAAAAGGTGGGAAGCCACCTTTATTAAGGATTAATTGATAGTTGTCCAGGTTTGCTAGCCTGAGAGAGGGGTTCTTTAGAAGGGGTACAATAACCACCTCTTTCAATATCAATAGACCTTGTCTTCTCTTAGTGAAGCATTAATTATAGCCTGAATCGAGCCCTAAACACCTTTCCTAGCCACATGAATCAGCTTAGCAAGACAGAACTCTAATTGCAGGTGACAGAATTCATATGAAAGAAAGCCTTATCCACTTCATCAGTCCCAACAAATTCAAATGAATCCCAAATAATCCCTGAAGACCTTACTCAAGGCACTTCACTATCCCTGTCAAAGAAGACTTCCCACACTGAGTGTCCCAACGGTGCTTTTTCAAGAGGCAACTGGACTTTCTTGTTTTTTCTTTTGAAGACGTTTCGCTTCTCATCTAAGAAGCTTCTTCAGCTCTGACAGGATAGTGGGAAAGAGCTGAAGAAGTTCTTTGGATGAGAAGCAAAACATCTTCAAAAGAAAAAATAAAGTCCAGTTGCCTCCTGAAAAAGCACCTTTGGGACAACCATGACCTGGATGACTGAGAATCTCTACAGTCTTCACACTGAGTGGGGGGTTTTTCCTCAAAAAAACTTGCAAATCTGCTTATATCACAGCAGCTTGAGGCAAAACTTTACCCTACCTTTTCCATAAAAGAGTCCAGGTAGCCTTCAACAGAACTGTGGAATGCAATTCTTCAGACATGTTAAGAACAGATAAATAAACATGCTTACCAGCCACAGCTCTATCCTGTCCCCAGGGCTCATGCAACCTATAAGCAGTCATATCCAGTCATTTGTTTCTGGTGGCAGCTAAGACGTCATAAGGAATAATTGTCATGGCACCATGATTTTTGGTGCAGGTAAATTTCAAAAAGGACTATGTCGTCATCGTGACCCAGTTAGGTCTCTGTTATGTAAGCCATGCCTGTGGTTATATTCACTGCACGAAGTGTTAGCACCGCTTTATAATGCCTTGGTAAGACCATACATGGAATACTGCATCCAGTTTTGGTCACCACAATATAAAAAAGATGTTGAGATTCTGGAAAGAGTGCAGAGAAGACCAACAAAGACGATTAGGGGGCTGGAGGCTAAAACATATGAACACCTGCAGGAATTTGGTAGGTTTAGTCTACTGTAAAGAAGGACTGGGGTAACATGGTAGCAGTGTTTCGATATTTGAAGGGCTGCCAAAAGAAGGGTCAACCTATTTTCCAAAGCATCTCAAGGCAGCATAAGAAGCAATGGATGGAAACTAATCAAGGAGAGGAGCAACTAAGGAGAAGCTAAGGAGAAACTTCCTGACAGTAAGAACAATTAACCAGCGGAATGGCTTGCCTTCAAAAATGGTTGGTTCTCCATCACTGAAGGTTTTTAAGAAGAGGTTGGACAGCCATTTGTCTGACATGGTATAGTGTCTCCTGCTTGAGCAGGGGGTTGGACTAGAAGACCTCCAAAAGTCCCTTCCAATTCTGTTCTGTTATTCTGAGACTATTTTATGTTTCATCAAGTCATTAATCTGATGTAGAAGTTCGTTACAATACACAACATCTTAAAATATTTCCAATATTTAATATTAATAATACCTAATAAATATTTTAAACTATTTATTAATATCTATATGATGGCCTACAAGCCATTTTCAGAAGCTGGCAAAATTCTTTTTTCTTATTTTGTCATACAGTTGGTAAAAGGTAGTCTTTTCCTAAGATGTGTGATTAATAGTAATTTCATTTATTTCCTTTCCTTTGCAGAGTATTGTACAGGTTACAGGATATAGATGGTGCCTTATCACTTCTCATGGCTTTCATTCAACAGTTTATGATCCAAATGAAAAGGTAATTATTTATGTGGACTTGTTTTCTGATACAGTATTGCTTATATTTATTTTTAGGACATTAAAGAATTAAGATATATGTCCTAAGACTTAAAGGAGAAGTGCAGTTTCCTCATACTTTAAATATCATGTAATTTTTAGTGTAACAGTAGGGGCAAGTCATTTAATTCATGGCTGCAATTATGTTAACTATTTAATTTCATTTGTAAGATTTGTTTTAAATGAAATGAAATCAGATTTATTTTTCCTTATGAGTTATTATTTATTGATTTAAAATCAGCTTCTATTGTTGTTTCCTTCATCCATAGATCATTTTGACTAATAAGATGTTGCACAGTTACATAGGTTAAATGTGATAGGGATATCCATCACTCTGCTAATGTCTCATTAAAGACACAGGACTGTGTTATGGCTTATGTTCTCTTCAGTATTTATATAAAGTGTTATCACCTTAATTGACATACAATTCTATTCTCTTCAATTCAACAATAGTTAGTTGCATATGTTTCTTTATGTTGAAAGCTACTTTCTCTTTAACGTATGTTGCTTTGAAACTTTTCTTTGGTTCTGAGCATACTATTGTAGGGAGGAAAGGCACATATTAACTATAGCAAAAGAAAACTAAGTTTGAAGAACCTTAGATACCATCAGTGGCAGATAAATAACTATAAAGACCAGATTTCATCCATCAAATAACCTGGCATCATATTTCAACCCTGTATTTTCTCCTCCATGCTGCATCAAGAGCCCAGGATGGGTTGACTCCTTCCTATGATGTCATAGCTGAGTCTGTACTAAGATACAAAAGCCAGCCCCCGGGAGAGACCCCAGCTTTTGACTTAGCTCCTTTCAGTCATAAGAGCTCAAGCCAGCTGATCGTGTAGCTGGTTGCTGTGTTTTTCCCTTGCTGACTTTACTCGGGGCTCTGTATAACCAAAGGAGCGATTCTTCAATCTTGGAGCCTGTTTTCCTGTAGTCAGCGGCCATCTTGGATTCAAGCCTTCCACCACGAGGTGCATGGCCATTTTGTAAGCCCGGGGGCCATTTATACCCTAAGGGGCTTAATACAAAAACTTTCTAAACAGCTTTTTTCCAACGCAAGAGCCTTTATTTTACAAATGGAGCAAGATAAGGCTCAGGCAGAGCTTTCCCCCCCAGTGGAACAGTCTCTTAAGCCCAATAGGAGAAAAAGACGTAGGCAACACACCCAATCAGTCCAGAGGGAGGTGGCTGCTAAAATCAAAGCTAAGGCTCTAGCCCCTAAGAAGGCAACTCAGGCTGAATTGAGGGCAGAGAAGCACAGACATGCAGCTCTAGAGAGGCAGTTCAACAGAACTATTCAACAGAAGGGAGTGCAACTACAGCATGTTTCAGGTGATACTCGTGGGCCCCAACCAAGCCCTCCCAGGGGAGGAGAAGTTATCTATGAGCCTTTCCATCCTCCATCCTGGTCTTCTGAGGCTCTTGCTGTTCAGTCAGATCCTCAGGATTTAAGCAGATCTGGGCCTTATTTCCAACAGGCTTCTGTGCCCTATACTCCTCCCCCTCCCTCCAGGCCTCGAACCTCTCCTCAATCTAGGCCTGAAGCCACCTTCACTCCCACAGCAGCGGGCCTTCGGCCTTCTGCCTCTACCTTTGAGCATAGACCAAGGGATATCCAAGATGTAGTCTCATCAGCCATTAGGCAGGGATTGGCTGAAGGCTTCAAGCAAATTCTTCAACCTCTGGAAAGGGTTCAGGCCCTTCTCCCTTCTCAATCTATAAGTTCCTTGCCTCATCATCCTGATTTACACAGGCCTCAGGACCTCAGGGTCCATTCTTCTCTACCAGAATGGGATGAGGTTGATGAGGAAGGAAGGCCTTTACCATCTGAACACAGTTACTCTTCTCATTCAGAGTGTGAAGAGGGTGAGATTTTTGACCAAAATCTTTCAGAGGAAGAGGATTCTCGCCCAGAGCAGACATCCTCTGCATCTACTCTCTTCAGGCCATTACTCAGCAAGGCCTTGGTCACTGCCAAGCTGTCGCCAGAGGAAGTGGCTCCTGAGCTACAAGGAAATCCCTCTAGCCAAGGGGATTCGCTCTTCTCCAAGCCTGTAGTGCATGCAGAGTTTTTGCCTTCTCCCATTTCGTTCCTGGACATGGTCAAGGAATAGTGCACTTCTCCTTCGGCAGGTCCTCGCCCATCTTCTCTAGATAAGCGTTTCTACAATGTCATCGGAGCTCTGGACAATGCCCTGGCAGTGCTTTCTGTTGACATTCCAGTTCTGGCCTCGTTCTCATCTTCTGGCACTCCCACGGAGCCAGAAGATATCCTGAAACCGGATGATAAACTTTCCGAACAGACCCTCAAGCGCAATCACCAGACTGGTGCTTGGGCTGTTTGGGCTTCAACAGCAGCATCCTTCTTCACCAGGGCATCCATACGGTGGCTGCGCCAACTCCAGAATAGATTGCCTGCTTCTGACCTTCGGTCTCACCAAGACCTTAACAAGATTATTGCAGCGGCGGAATTCACTGTGGATGCCACTCTCAATTCCACCAAATTTGCATCCAAGGCCATGGCATATTTTGTATCAGCAAGAAGACTTTTATGGCTCTGAAATTGGCAGGCGGAGTCACGTCGAAAAGGGAAGCTGGCTTCCGTTCCTTTCGCAGGCGATAAGCTTTTTGGCGATGCTCTGGAACCTTATCTCATCGAAACCAGAGATAAACGTAAAATTCTCTCTTCCTCTGGGAAGAAAGCCGACTATCGCCCTGCTCCTTATCGCCCTCCTGCCTTCCGAGCGGAGACCTCATCTCGCTTCCCCCGCTCTCACAGGCCATACTCCCAACGCCAAGACCAACGGGCGGAAATATCTGGCAGGCAACAACCTTCTACTGGTAAACGGCTCTTTCGGGAGGCAGGGGGTCATTCCTTCCGTCGCTCTAAGTAATCCCTCGTTCTCCCCACCCATCGGCCTCTCATCGGCTCCAAGGGTTTTCACAAAGGTTCTGGCAGCATTGGTGGCATCTCTGCGTTCTATTCCAGTGAGGATCCAATGCTACTTGGACGACATTTTGATTCTTTCCTCTTCCATCCTTGCGGCCCATCGGGATCTGCAAATTACCCTGTCATGTCTCCAGAGCCACGGATTTTCCATCAACACCAAAAAGAGCCAGCTCTCTCCTACAACCAAATTGCAACACTTGGGAGCAGTCATCGATACCATGTCATGCCAGGTTTTCCTGTCCCCAGCTCATGGAAAGAGCCTTGCAGAAATCATCAGCCAGATCTAGCAACATCAAATTGTCCCCCTGTTGCTGCTGTCCAAACTTCTGGGGAAGATGGTTTCCTGTATTGGCATCGTCCCGTGGGCTTGGTTCCACTCCCGAGCCCTCCAATGGTTCCTGCTTCCCTACCAACGAGCAGGAACCAGCCACTTATCCATCAAGGTCCCACTCCCGCCACAAATCCAGAGATCTCTCAATTGGTGGCATTCCCCATCTATCTGGAGGGGACTCCTGTTAAGGGACCCAGACAGGCTAGTGATAACCACCGATGCCAGCCTCCTGGGTTGGGGTTCCCATATGCAGGGCCAGATAGCTCAGGGCGTTTGGTTCAGATCGGAACAGACCCTTCCCATAAATTGGCTAGAGCTCAGAGCCATTTTTCTGGCTCTCAAGCATTTCAGGCAATCAGTGACCGGCTCTCATGTTCTAGTCCTTACGGACAACATGGCCGCAAAGGCTCATGTCAACCGGCAAGGGGGGACAAGGTCCAAAGCCCTCATGAGAGAGGCTCTACGGCTGGGGTTATGGGCAGAGAAACACCTGTAATCGATCTCGGCGGACCACATCTCCGGGGTCGACAACTCCCAGGCCGACTGGCTCAGCAGGAGCCTAGTCGACCAGGCAGAATGCTCCATTCCTCCGTCTCTATTCAGGGATCTTTCCCTCAGATTCAGAACACCGGAGGTGGATCTTTTCTCCACTCCTCAAAATGCCCAAGTCACCAGATTCTTCACCGGGTTTCCTTGCCAGGGAGCGGAGGGGACCAATGCTCTTCGGTGCAGATGATCCAAGGGTCTCCTCTACGCCTTTCCCCCACTTCCCATCATTCCGGCAGTAATTCGGAAGATGTTGGAGGAACGTGCGGAGCTCCTCCTCCTGGCACCCTATTGGCCAAGGAGGCCCTGGTTTGCGGACCTGGTCAACCTATCAGTGGCTTCTCCTTGGAGGATCCCTGCCCATCTAATCTCCCTTCACCAGGGGGCCCTGCTCCACCCAGAGCCCCAGTGGTTCAAGCTGACCATGTGGCACTTGAGCGGCAGCGGCTAGAGGAGGCTGATCTTCCAGAAAGGGTCATCCTCACTATCCTGGCTTCTCGCAAACCTTCTACAAGGCGCATCTATGATGCCACCTGGAAGGCTTTTTCCCGATGGTGCCTCAGGGAGGGTCTTTCTCCTGCTTCAGCACAGTTGGCAGAAGTTCTTAGCTTCCTTCAGCATGGGCTGGAGAAAGGTTTGGCCCCCAACACCTTACGCAGGCAGGTTGTGGCCCTCTCCTCAGTCCTTTCATGGGGTTCACTTCCTTCCTTATCCCATCACACTTCAGTCAGGAGGTTTTTGAAAGGGGCTTCCAACCTGCACCCTCCGGTAGTTCACAGGTATCCTTCCAGGGACCTTCATTTGGTCCTTAATGCCCTTACAAAGCCCCCCTTTGAACCCCTTAGAACAGTGTCTCTCCGTTTCCTGACTCTGAAGGTAGTGTTCCTTGTTGCCATCACTTCTGCCAGGAGGGTTTCCGAGCTTGCTGCTCTTTCTATCAGACAGGACCTTTGTTCCTTTCACGATGATAGGGTTGTTCTTTGTCTGGACCCCTCATTTATTCCGAAGATTAACACCTGGTTTCACAGGTCCCAGGACAATTGTTTTGCCTGACTTCTGTCCTTTCCCGCACCATGACTTAGAGCGGCAGTGGCACACGCTAGACGTAAGAAGGGCTCTTAGAATATACATTAAGCGTACTTCCTCCTTCAGGAAGTTGGAAGCCATGTTTGTTTCCTTTTTCCCTTCTCACTTGGGGCACAAGGCCTCTTCTCCTACTATTAGCAGGTGGGTCAGGTCTTGCATTGAGCAGGCTTACAAAGCTGCGGCCCTTCCAGTTCCCCGAGGTCTGACGGCGCACTCTACCAGAAGCGCGGCCACTTCTGCTGGCTGGGCGACCCAAGCATCCTTGGAGGAGATTTGTGCAGCCACGTAGACATCCCCGTCTCCTTTCATCAGACACTACCGTCTGGATGCTTTTGCCTCGGCAACTGCAGCCTTCGGCAGCCGGGTGCTTCAACGAGTGGTTCCACAGTTGGTGTGATGAGCCAGACGAGGAACCGCCCGTGGACATGCAAGCTTTGGTATGTCCCATCCTGGGCTCTCGATGCAGCATGGAGGAGAATGGGCGTTGGTAGAAGTTACCGTGAACGCCCTTTCTATCTATGCTGCGAGAGAGCCCAGACCCTCCCTTGATTCGTCCGGAGAGGGTAAGACATATTTCTGTATTTATTTTGGGCTTTCAGAGACACCTTTCAGTCTCAAGTATCTTCGCCAAAGCTGGGGTCTCTTCCGGGGGCTGGCTTTTATATCTTAGTACAGACTCAGCTATGACATCATAGGAAGGAGTCAACCCATCCTGGGCTCTCTCGCAGCATAGATAGAAAGGGCGTTCACGGTAACTTCTACCAACGCCCAATCCCTGAATATGGGGCTATAAAAAGAGAATATACAAACAATAGATTTGCTGTTTTGTTAGTGTTAACACACTAGTCCAGGGGTGTCAAATTCGCGTTGTCACAGCATTGTCACATCACATTTTGTGACTTTCCCCCCTTCGCTAAACCGGGCATTGGGCATGGCCAGTGTGTGATGCATCCGGCCCATGGGCCGTGAGTTTGACAGCCCTGCACTAGCCTTTCGGTGTTAGCAAAGTATATTTATTGTCCTAATTGCAATGACCTGAAGTTATTTGCAACTTACAAATTAATTGCTTACAGATATAGATAATGTATACATTATTACCAAATATGGCATTCATTGTTGAAACTGTTGTGTAAATATTTTTGTATATACACATACACATGCATTCATCTACATTTCTGTGATAATTTTGTCCTCTTTTTTCCTTTTTTTAAAAATGTTCTTTTTTGCTTAACTAAAGGTTTTAAAAAAGAAAATGCACAAGTTTGTTTTAAGTCTATTTCCCATTCTTAGATCAGTTTTGTTTCTATGAAATCATAATAACATTTTGTAAATAATCATTTTTAATATATAGTGATTAGATTTCACATTCTTCTATTCATTTAATGAGACTAAATGTAAGTATAAATATCTGTTTACATTATATTTATGAAGGATACTTTTTTTCTTCCTCATTCCTTCACTAGACTTTTGATAAGCTTCTTATTGCAAACAGAGGAGAAATTGCCTGCAGGGTAAGTAACATCTCAAAATTGTAGTTATTTTATAGTTTTTTTATTTTTACTTAAAGCATTTAACTAAAAGAAACAATTTTTCCCTCCTCACTCACTGACTAGGTAATTAAAACATGCAAGAAGATGGGAATTAAAACAGTTGCCATACACAGTGATGTTGATTCAAATGCTGTAAGTACCTATTGTTTGTTATAACATTACTTTCTAGATTATCTGTGTTGATCCCCTCCAAATACTCAATGAATATTTGCCATTATTTAAGCTACATTTTAATAGAAAGTCCCTTCTTAAGGAAATATCATTTCATAAGTCCTTTTTATTCAGTCAAATATATTTTGAAAAGGATGTTGTGATATTCAAAATTGTATTAACGAAGAATATGATGAGATCATGATAGAAAGTTTATATTTATCTTTAAATACATCTTTGAATTCCTCACAGTGCTAATGCTAATTTACACATTTCAACAGCAACTGAAATAATAGATGTTCATATTCTTTAATATCGATATGCAGTAATTATGAAATAAGAGAGGACATTTAAAAAAAATAAATCACTTGTGGGAGCATTGCCATTAAGGGATTGGATAATACAGTGCTGCTTTATGATGTCACTGCTACCATAGAAACAATAAGCCCACACTAGGTATATACTAGGTATGAACAGAAGAGCTTAGAAAGCTGAGAGAGACGACAACATCTTATGAAGCCAGGAAAGAAGAACATTTTCTGATGTTAATATGCATATAACATACTTTCTACCATATTTTTACTAGACGGGTAGTACTAGAGATGTTGTATGCATCTTCAAGATCTTGAGAGCTCCATATAAGGAAATTATAGTTTATGCTTACTGTATATATGGATTTTCTGCCAAGTCAGTAACATAAAGGTATTTTTAAACAAACATTTTTTAAACAATTTAGTGTACAGTTAAAAAGCTACATCCTAATATCAGAATTTCATGCACCTATTTGAAGCAGTGTTTATAGTTTCATTTTTGATAGGGTTTTAATGCTAAATTGAAAACATGATAAATTAGATTCCAAAGAAAATTGATAATATCAGTATGGTGTTTTCACTATCTTGATATTTTTATACAGAGTAAGAGACAAATCTAAAGGAAAATGGATGGATGGATGGATGGATGGAAAGAAGGAAGGTTTTGAAGTATGATTTCCAACCTTCTCACCAGATATTAACAAATCTATTATCTTCTTCCCTCTTAATTTTTCCAGAGATCCATTCAGTCCCTCATTTAATATTAATGTATTTCAATCATTAAATCTCCATAAACCACCATTCTACTTTTTATTCTTCTTTAGCAAAATGTCCATAAAAGGTTTCCAGTCTTTTAAACAAACCACTTGTTTCCTCCCTGGCCAGATAAGTCCATTTTGCCAGTTCCACTAGTTCTGACATTTTTATAATCCAGTCCTTCACTGTAGGAACTTCAGTACTCTTCCATCATTATTTGACCTATTTTAGGAGCAGAGGGGACAGCTACACAACCATCCAGATTAGGAAGCTGCCATTTCATGAAGCTGTGCTTCAAATCACAGTGACATAACTAAAACTAGTTTCTACGCATTAACCCAATCTAATTCTGACTTAACTGTATAGGACAGAGCATGGTAAAATATGAATAATATTTTTAAAAACCTATCAATTTTCCTTAATACTGAATGTAACAGTAAGTGCCGATATGACAACATCCAAATATAACACCACTGAGAAAAAGGTCCTATAAAAGGAGGGAAATTTAAGAAAATTCAGACGTTTGCACTATACAGGTAATCCTCAATTTATGATCATAAGTGAGATTGGAGCTTCCATTGCTAATGATGCAATTGCTAAGTGAGTCACCCCAATTTTGTGGGCTTTTTTGTTGTGATAGTTAAACAAATTGAGCTTCCCCCATCGACTTTTTATATCAGACGCCGCTTGGGAAGATCCCAAATGTTATCACACGACCCTAGAATGCTGTAACTATTGCAAATATATGCCAGTTGATCAGTGCTTGAATTTGGATCACATAATCACAGAGATTCTCCAACAGTCGTAAGTATGAGGACTGATCATGAGCAGGGGTGGGATTCAAAAATTTTAACAACCGGTTCTGTGGGTGTGGCTTAGGTGGTGGGTGTGGCTTGGTGGTCATGTTATTGGCTGGGTGTGGCCCACTCAATATCACTCACATCGAGGCACGCATCTCCTCGTCTGGCCTCTCATGACTGTGGGGATGCTGCAACAGTCGTAAGTGTGAAAAATGGTCATAAGTCACTTTTTTCAGTGCCATTGTAACTTTGAATGGTCACTCCACACAAGCAAAGTACCAGCAAAGGAGGGGGAAAAAAACTCCAGAGAAGTTCCTGAGACAGGAAGTCTAGTCCTGCCAAGAATATAATAAGGGTTAACGGAAAAGCAGTTTCTGTAAGCAACAGCAGAATGTTTCCTTCCTGCCTTCCTTACAGGATTAGGTCAGTAATTTCTTTTAATAATCGGTTCGCTGAACTGCTTAGAATGTTAACAACCGATTCTAGTGAATAGGTGCCAACTGGTAGAATCCCACCCCTGATCATGAGCCTCTTGTTTCAATGTTATCATGCAGAGAACAAAGTTGTGCAAAGGCTCTCCTAGCTATGACTGCCATCTGCTCCTATGCAGCAGTCCTGAGTCCAGGAAGAACCACCCCCCCAGATTGCCCATGGGGTCTGTTTGGGGCAATGCTATCCTATCCAGCACCAGAGATGGTGCAGTTCTAGAACCAGAGAGCCCCAAAACCCAAAGCCACTCAATCTTTCCATGGTTCAGTTCAAGCCATACTCTCACAGCCTCTAGCACTAAGGTAGACATCCTGTCACATAATTTGCTAGGAGCAGAGATATACTTGGTATTTCATCCCATCACAAAGGATAAGCTCACCCAGCGATCTCATATACCTGTTAAATAGGACCCACATAGCAGGGGGTTAACTCAGGATCTCTCCTCCCAAATCATCAATGACTGGAATTGGCCCCAGAGAAAGGAGGTGAATCAGCCCAACCCATGCTTTCCATCCCCAATTTCTGAGTTTATCCAGAAGGATATCATGGTTGCTGAGAAGTCAAGCAAACAAGAGAGGGATTCACCACCATCATCCCACCCACACCAGAAATCAGCCAGTTGCACAACTAAAGTCGCTTCTATTCCATACCCACTCTCAGGTTCGCAATCTAACTAAAAAAGATCCAGATTATCCACTTCATCCAGAGTCCTCTAAATCTATTGCACAACGTTCCCCAAAAAGAGGAAATTGGACACTGAGTAAACAAAATGCCCCATAGCAAAAGGCAATTATGAAACACTAATTATCAAGGGATAAAGAACAGAACAGAAAAATAGAAAATCAGGGTGAAAAACCATAACCTGAAACAATAATAGTTTATCCGGTAAAATTAGTCTGTATAAAAATGCTTGTCTTTTATCATGATCTATACTCTAGTTATGTACAAATTTCTCATAAAAGTATTTTCTTCCACCATAATGCTAAAGTCACTCATGCAATAGCAGCAGCACTTAAGATTTATATATACTGCTTCATAGTGCTTTACACTTACAGCACTCTCTAAAGCAGTTTACAGAGTCAGCATAGGCAGCTATCCTAAACTGAAGCTGGAAAGTCCAACTTGCCAAACATACATAATTATTTAACATATGTTGCTGTTATGTCTCATAATTAAACAAAGTATTTTTTTAAGTTAAAGTTGTACTTTAATAGGTCTAACAGTTTGTTCTGATATAAATACGATGGAGAGAAAGCAGTTAATGATGCATGGCCTCATTATTTATTTATTAAATTCCTGTATCATCTCATAGCAAGATGCCTCAGCAGCATATATTAGAAGCTATTAATGGCAAGTGAGTACAAGTGAGCAATTAGAAAACATAACTGTAAAAAAAAAGTATGAAATTTTGATAAGCTCTTCCCAGAGGTCTTCTCATCTTTGTCTATGCTGGTACATTTCATTTTAATTTACCTGATTGTTAGCTTCCAGTTTGTTCAGCTGGAAACCACAAACAAACACTAATTACTTTGACATCACAAAGTCATATTGTCCTTACCACCTCCCCAGACAGCAGGGATAAATTATAAAGGGTAGACATGATAATAACTTGATAAATGATGAGTCACATTACCTCTTTGTCAATCATCCATGAGGGCTCACACAAGATACCACTCAATCTCATTACTACATCCTAAAACTACAATGACAATACACACCAGGAATTTTCTTTCAAACAGCAAGTCACCTTGCTGGATACAATCCAATAGATGGTGGTTGAATTTCCATAACATTTTACCTTTTTCTAAAAATATTCAAACACGAGAGGAAAAAGAACATAGTGGGAGCCACAACTTACTTGCTGCACAAATATATAACATTTTGCACATTATGATGTTCAACATTTTCCAAGTTACATTTTTATTCTTGGACTTTAATCCTATAAAGCACACTTTATACATTCTATTATATATTCCACAAATGTTATTTCTAGGCTATGGCTGTTGAATTTTCTGAAATAAAATGTTCTCTTTCTGACTCAAAATTATTTTGAAACAATTTAAACAAGGACTAAACCACATTTATTTTCCTTTGATTCTGCTATCCACCATGCTCATATTTTTCTTTCCCTCTTGTTTAAATTATATTTTAGACCAAGCTGTTGCATTTCTAGTGTAAGGCTTCCCTAAAACTAAGTTCTACCACTATATTGTGGCAATCCTGATTGAAAGAAGTTTACGTGATCATGCTGCTCCTGTGGTCAGCACTAAAAAACATATACAATATTGCCACTAGTATTTAATTCAAGCCGAAAAGAACAAATGTTTATTCAAAGCAAAGCAAATCAGAATGAGACATCCAAGAAACATCATTAGTGTTGTTAGTGAAAATATCCATCAAAACATTTTTCCCGCTTTTTAGAGAGGGAGGGCTACTAAGTATGTTTGTCGCTGCTGTAAAAAAAAATAATTCCTACTCAAAATCGTTTCTGAAGTAACACATTCCTAAATAATAAATCATTTCAGCTTCTGAAAAATTATGACAATTTATAGTGAAATACAATAAGCCTCCGGGAGCATGATAATTAACTAGAAAGCATGCTGTTTTGGTAAGCTTTTCAATTAAG